ATGTGACCATATATGTAATACAAATAAGAAGGAGAAAAGCTGAAGTCTCTGGAAATACTCTAATCTTTCTTTCCAGATAAAGCAACAAAACCTTAACCAGTCCAGACTGTTTACTTTTCGAGAATTTTTAGGTGCTCCGGGAGCACCGCGTTGGAATGCTGATGTGGTGCTCCCGGCCAATGAAATTGTGCCACGTGGCCTCAATTAATAAAATAAAATGGTAGCTTACGTTTTTGTGAGTGATTTACTGTGGATTATTTTCTTTCTCCTTTAATCATCCATGGAATTCTCCAAGCCGAATGACTACCGTCAATCTACTAGTGCACCTCCTTATCTCTATGAAATTGGAAAAAGGAAAGAAATCGTTGGAAGAAGAAGTGAACCAACAAAAGGAATAATCATTGTCATCTTCCTGGTTGTGGAACTTCCATCGGCTAAGAAGAAAATAGATCTGCTAGGGTTTTGGTGAAGAGAGCTCAAAAGTATTGAGTTCTTCTTTTCTGGCTTTCTCATTTATATATGTGCAGAGCAACATTAGGCTAACTAAACAACGGCTAATAAACAGTAAAGTTTAACAAACTAATTAAACTATCTAGTCTTAGTTAGCCACGCGTCGTTGATCAACTAATTACATTGTTTGAAGTCTTCAATGGCTAAACGTCGACGTTCCTTTCTTCCTAGCGAACAGATCAAGGGAAACAGTGACGTTCTGAACTCACCTTTAGCTGAAGAGAGAACGCCACCGTTTCATTCTCATACTCACATCAATGATGTGCTTTGTCGACTTCCTTCGTTCACAGCAGCATCTTCTTGTTCTTCAGGTCATTGATTGTGCAAGCTGATGCTGCTCCATCTGGTTTGATCATGTTCTACATTACGCCCCCACAAGCTTGCGATATTCCCAGCTTGCTCATGAGAAAGTTGAATATGTCAATGCCTAAGCTATTGGTAAAAACATCTACCAACTGATGAGTACCAGAAACGTAATGTAAAGCAATCAAACCACTTTGTAAACGCTCCCTGATCACGTGACAATCAACCTCTTTATGTTTGGTTCGTTCATGGAACACTGGATTCGGTGCAATGTGTATAGCAGACTGACTGTCACAGAAAACAATGGCTGAATGTGAATGATCAATCCCAAAATCTAAAAGAAACCTTACCAGCCATTGCATTTCACATCTTAGGAGCGCCAATGCCCTGTATTCAGCTTTTGAGGATGATCTAGATACTGTACTTTGTTTCTTGGCCTACCAACTTATCAAAATAGTTCCCAGAAAGACACAGAAACCTGTTAGAGATCTCCTAGAGTCAGGACAAGTGGCCCAATCTGAGTCATTGTATCCTGTTAGCTGGATGGTTGCCTTGCTATCAGTTCGTGGCCCCTCTGTGTCATATTTGCTTTTTGCGGATGATAAGCATTTTCTTCTTAAGAGCTACACCTCAGGAATGCTGCTAGCTAAGAGAAATTCTTAAGTGCTATGAGGCTGAATCAGGACAAATGGTAAACATACAAAAGTCGGAACTAATATTCAGCCCGAGTGTGAATTCAGATACAAAAAATGGTTTGGCCGCCATATTGGAGATGCAACAGGTGGAATATTACACTAAGTATTTGGGTCTACCCACTGTAATTGGAAGGGAAAAGAAGGTTGTCTTCGATGTCCTTATCAATAGGGTGCGTAAAAAAATCAAACACTGGAAAGGACTTACTCTATCAATAGCTTCAAAAGATGTTTTGATCAAGGCTGTAGCGCAATCTCAGACTACATATATGACGTCAGTCTTTCTGATTCCACAAGGTGTCCTAAATGAAATCAGGAGAGCAATCTCAAGTGTTTGGTGGGGCCAGCAGAAGGAAGAACGTCGGATCCCTTGGAAGGCATGGAAGGAGGTGTGTAAGCCTAAGGAAGAGGGTGGGATTGGGTTTCGTGACCTACAGGCTTTCAATGTTGCATTATTGGGGAAGCAAATCTGGAATCTACTTGTCAATCCAGAATCCCTAGTGGCACGCATTCTAAAAGCCAAATACTACCCAAATACTGACATTCTACAGGCAAGAATTGGCCCCAACCCGAGCTATACTTGGCGAAGTATCATGGCTGCCCAAGATTTGGTAAAGAGTGGATTAAGATGGAGGATAGGAAATGGCTCTAATGTGAAGATATGGGGAGAAAAATGGTTACCAGAGTCAGAAGAGCATGGTTCTCAGGTATTATCACCTGAAGCGGAGTCCGAGGAGGTGAGAATGGTCTATGATCTTATTGATCATGAAAATAGGATATGACGAAGCAATATCCTGCAGTTCTATTTCAATCCGATTGATAGGGGATGAATTACTGGAATTCTTATCCCACGTCTGCATGTTATGGACGAGAGAGTTTGGTGCCACGAAAGAACAGGTGTTTACTCGGTTAAAACGGCTTACATACTAGCTTATCGAACCAAGAACAACACTGCGGATGTAGACCAGCAGAATGAGGAGGGAGGGCCAGAGGAGATAGGGCAAGGGGTGGAATCGTATGATCCCATGAACTGGAAACGACTGTGGAGACTCACAATCCCAACAAAGGTAAAAATATTTCTATAGAAGCTAGTGCGTAATATATTACCTACAGGGAAGAACATTGAAATTAGAAAAGAAGAAGCAGCCACGGAATGCCCTATTTGCCATCTAGAAGAAACTCAAAATCATATTTTTCGGGAGTGCCAGTGGGCGATTCGTGTGTGGAAGCTGTCGAATTTTCGACCCCTGTTCGAGATGGAACCAAATCTTTCGCCAGGTAGCTGGATGTGTGAGGTAATGGAGAGGGTGGATGATGCAACCCTAGAACAATTTGGGCTCATTCTCTGGATGATGTGGAATGAACGAAACAGCCAGATGTTCAATCGGAAAAAGGCGGAGGAATGGGAAGTGGTTGGGAAGGCTCTAGACTATTGGGAGGAGTTCCAATCCTATTATACTAAAGAGCAACAGATTGGAGAAGCGGAAGAAGTTACCTGGAAAGCGCCTCCACAAGGATGGGTGAAAGTGAATGTTGACGCGGCAATGATGAATGAAGGGACGGGGCTGGGGATGGTCCTGAGGGATGCGAATTGAGCCTTTCTACGCGCTGCGGTTCGACGAATAAGAAATCGCTGGCCACCAGAGATAGCGGAGCTGAAGGCGGTGGAATTTGGTCTACAGCAGCTGGAGATGAGCGGTCATCGCCAGGCGGTGGTAGAAATGGATTGTCAGACAACTGCTTTTGCTCTACAGAAGGAGGACAGATCGAGATTGGAAGCGGGTCAGGTGGTGAAAGAGATTCAAGAGGAAGCTCAGCGGTTTGAGTCGATCAGATGGAGCTTCACTAAACGAAAGGGAAATGAAATGGCCCACTGTTTGTGTGATTGGGAAGCCCAGGAAGAATGGGTTTCAGAACCACCTTATTTTCTCCAAAGCTTGTTGGCTAAGGAGCAGTGTTGTGAAAGCCGAGCGGAGCGCCAAAATCGCCAACCGGGCACAAAACCGGCTCGGATTAGCTATTTAGCCGGACTGGTTCTCTGGGGCGGCCGGCGAGCGGCCGAAGCGGTTAACCGCTCGAGCCGCTCGAACCGGTCGTCCTGTTTTTTACATTCGGCCGGTTGGTGTAATTAAAAAAATAAAAACCAAAAACCGAAAATTAAAAGGGAAGGTGGGTCGGGACTCGGGGTCAGGCAGAACCCTAATTCCCAATTTTCATTCGCCATCTTCTTTTTCGTGGAGAGTCTGGAGATAAGGAAGCGACGTCGCCATCTCCCCAGCGCCGTCGCCGTCGCATCTGGACGGCACTTCAGCTTCCCCAACGCCGTCGCCCACTTCCCCAGACCCGTCGCCATCGCCATCTTCCCCAGCGCCGTTCCCCGTTGCCATTTCCCTCCGATTTGGGCGAGCCCCTGCCGGCGAGTGCCCCGGTGAGGTCTCTCTTCCCTTCCCCGTTCTCCATTACCATTACTGCTCCGATCGATTACCCCCGGTGAGGTCTGCCTGCATTTTCCGATCGATTACCCTGCCACACTGAATAATGGACTGATTATTCCCTGCCACACTGAATAATTGAATATGATGTAATCTTGTGATTTACCATGATTAAGAAGTGTCCACTATTTATACAGATGAGAGATGATTGTTTATTAGGTATCGGTTCTCAAACGATTTTTAAACGGTCTAATGCCGGCTGGACCACTAAAGACCGAGCCGTTCACGTTTCCGGGTCATACTCCGGTTCGGTTCTGACAACATTGCTAAGGAGGCTTTAATTTCTTAATAAAATTCAGGTACCTTACCATTAAAAAAAAAAACCCTAATCCCAGCAGAGTTCCTTTTTATAATTTTGCTAGTGGATTATTATGATTTAGGGGTGGTGGCGGACTCTTTTTTGTCCACTGTTTTTTCTCTATCAACAAAATATCTTTTTATTTTCAATAATTAAAATGACAAAACTATCCTTCCTACAATCACTGATCAGAAGGTTGAGAATTTTGAATTGAACATGTTATGATGGAAAACCTCTATATAGTAATGGTAGGATTTACAATCATGAATTCATGCTGATCCGAATCATGGTTGAAGCACTGAAACCACAGAATATTTGGTCGGTTACCTGGGTAACCGGTAGTGCGCACATAATCACGACTGTGACTAGCTACGACGTGCTTTCCATGGCTTGTTCGTTTTTGCAACAATGAAATGTGAGAATTGTTGCAAAAACGTAGTTGTCAACCGAACTATATGACTACAACCCACGTCAATAGATATTCTCTTTATTATTGATAAGAACAAATTGAATATCAAACGAATAATAAAGAAAATCGTTAAACAGCCGGGTCCTAAAACAAACTATAAAAAAAGAAAAACGTATACGATATCACCATCATCCAAAAAATTGGACCGAGAGTGGCTTATATATATAGATCACACCATATCAAGTGGAAAATTTTCATTATTAGAGAGAGGATCGATCCATCGAAACGTTTCGTGATCAAGTGCTGATCATTATTGGCCCAATGTGCTGAGTGAAATGGGGGCTCTGAAGAGCTTCCTGAAGCAGTTCCTCATCGTCCCACGAATCTCTGTACGTCTCCAAGTGTACATCCGAATTGTCCAAAGCGACAAGACACATCTTCTTCCTCCACTCTTCCAGATGCGGGAAGCCAGTCTTGTCCGCGTATTTGTCAGCATACTGCATTTTGCAAATGTTGCAACAACAAAGAAAAAAGGTTCACAACTTAGAGATCGATCGATAACAACGAGAGAGAGTGCGATCCAACGATATCAGTACGTACGTACCTCGAACTGGATGATGTCGTGGGTTTCGTGTCTTGGGATGCCGTCGGCTTCTCTCTGGCGGTAGAATTCCTGAACGGAGCGCATCATGTCGTCGGGGGAAGGCAGCTTCCTTTTCCCACTCAGGACTTGTGCGACCCATTTGCCTTGTGATTCGAAGAAAGGGAAGGCTATGATCTGCACCAAAAAAATTTTAGTGATTTATGGTTTCAACGATTAACTTGGTATATAATCGTTCTTGCACTATAGCATATAAAGACATATCTATATAATACAATCATTATTTATAACTGAATTTGTCACTAATCGTAAATAATTTCAAACTCATATCATACGTCACCAAAAATTTCACGAATCGTTCAAATTATCACAAAAGACATCATAAAATCTTTTCATTAAATTCAAGTTGATTAGTGTATCACGTACACCCGACAAAGAGGTTGAGAAATGAAGAAGTGTACGCATAAATAAAATCATTAATTAATTCATGTTGGATGGACTTAGTTTACTTTAAAGTTTAAAGTATCCCTTTTCTCAATTTTATTTTATTAAAACAGCAAATCGGTGGACCAATCAAACCACGGTGGTTCATCTGGTTTCATTTCCAACCGTTAAAAGTCGTTCAATCCATCCTTAGTCTTCCAAACAAATGGACAGAGTCGTAATTGTAACTTAGTTTGACAGTTCCACTGATCCAATGGTTGATCCAATTCGGTTCTTATAACAAGACTTTCAAATAAAAACTGAAGATGTGTGTAAAACTTGCCTTTCTCGGGATGCCCACAAAGGAGAGGGAAGGAGCAAGTAAAGGAGGGAAGGTGTGGTGATACAAAGGCCCCACTCTGTTATCATCCACCGTTACTAGTCCTTTGGTGTCAAGAAACGGGAACGAGTATTTATACCTAATACGGTCATCGTGTCATGTCACCATCATGTATAGTAAGTAATGTTGAATAAAATAAGTTGAATGTGCAATTCGATATAATTAAGTACATACCCTGTGCAATACAAGATAGCGTCGGCAACCACAAAAGACCCATCCACGAACAGAACCCTCCCATCTTCTTCGAGCGACTCAATCTAAGATCGAAGGTGGAGAAGTTTCATGTTTGCAAACAAAACGACCGATCGATTCATTTTTTAAGTACGGGGACAACCAAAAAAAACCCCAGTACCTGAGGTCGAAGGTGGAGTTTTTCATGTTTGGAGATGACTTTCGAGAAGCCCTCCATTAAATTCTTTTGTGATCTTGAACTGATATGGACTTCTTTTGCAACTCCCGCGAGCTCCATTGATATGTCTTGCGCGCTTAATGAGTTCCCCACCATCACCACCACCTAATCAATCAGTCAATTAAAACTCTCATCATAAACATGTAATCAATTAGTTAGATATCGAGCCGGTCCAAAAAAATACTCATGTCTGTCTAGTCCCGTAACAGCGGGAAATACCCGTCCCAAAACATGTCAAACAAGGTCGAGTAAAATGAGTCACGGATCAAAATCTAGATAACCTGATTTTGGAATGGTTGTGGAACCCTGTACACGTGGCTATGCATTTGCTTCCTCTTCCAGGTCTTCATACCTAAATAATCAAACAAACAAAAAAGCTAAGACTACCATTTGTCTCATTTTAATTATGATCAAAAGGTTCATTAAAATTGTTTTCAAAATGAAGCATACCAAGTTATAAACCCTAGCTAATTATACGTACCTTTAATAGAGGGCAACTGAGGATAAGAGTACTGACCGTTACCCACAACCACAGCATCAAAAACCTCTTCCACCACCTCGCCGTTCCTCTCCACACGATCTATACTAAGGTCATAATCGACGTCGTTCACATCGCCATTACCACTACTTATAATATCGTCGTCGAGCTTTCTGCTCCTGACGACCCATTTCAGATCATTGCCCAAATCCCCACAAACACCATTATTACCCTCCAACATCCCCACATACTCAACCCTAGTATTGAACCTAATCAATTCCCTAATCCCAAAATGGACACTGAACTCCTTGAGGTACAACCACAGCTCTCTGTGGCCAGGGAACCTCCTTGTGTCCCTCCCAAGTCCTTCCTTCATAAGGAATGGGAAATCGGTGTAGCCCATGATCTCTCTTGGGGAGAGCAGCCTCAGTGAATTGTAGATGCTACTATGGACCTCCATGAACTTGGTTCGCCCCAATGGATCCTCCTTCTCGACGTCTGGATCGAACAACCACTGACCACCTACGTCGTGTTTTTGCTCGAACAACACCACCCTGTGCCCTTCTTTCCTCAGCTCCCTGGCTGCCACTAGGCCCGAGGGACCTGCCCCGATCACACACACCGTCTTCTTCGAGGAGAGGATCGTTGATTCTGGTTCGGTGGTGAGATTGCGTGGTTGATCCATGGTGTGGAAAATGATATGACAAGGTTGGGTGTGTGTGTTCTGTTTGGCTAAAGGGTTGTGTGTTTTAGTTGTGAAGAGGACGTAAGAAGAAGGTGGAGAAGGAGGGTTTGGTTTTATATTGATGCTGGTAGTTGGCAAAGGGGGGAAGTCGGGTTTGGAAGCAAATCCATGGAGTTGATTGGAGCTGGATTTTACCACAAATTGTTATCAGCCAAGAACAGAAACAATGATATTGATGACAAAAACGTGGTGGTTTTACTAGGAAGGTGACATACGTGACACTTTATTTTATTTTTATTTTTTTTGACAATACGTGACACTTTATGAATCATAGGATTCAACAGTTTATTCCTCTCTCTTTTTCATTGTGTTACGAGAATCAAGCCATTGTAACACGTTGTTGGAAGTTTCAGCGTTTAGTTTGGTTTCTTTCAACTCAATAAATGTTATTTACATGTAAGGTGAAGGTTAGGAACTTAGATTAGTACATATGCATTGTTACTATTATAGGTGTACGTGTGTGGTTGGTAAGGAAAGCAAAGTGGAAATGTACAATGCATATCTACCTGGATTAATGCTAGAGTACATACGTACAAATTCGATGTCAAAATGCAATCAAATATGAGAGTGAATACGGATAAGAAATTTGTGGATGGTCACGAGACACGATATTGAATGTATAAGTGTAGGGTGTATAAGCTTAGGATTTGAATGTATAAGCGTAGGGTGGTTCCAAATAGAAAAATTATACATAGTAGAATAGTTTTTGTTAAATTATTTAATTACTCCTGACATAATGTTACATCTGAATTTTTTGATAAATTAAAATACATTAGTAATCAAAACTATTAAGAATATCACTCTAAGTTTATCAAACAATTGTTCACAATTTAGATAGTTGTTCATTTTTTAATACTGTTATTTTTCAAGAACCGTTTAGTACCAATAACTTGAGTTGTTGATAGAAGTTTAATAATGAATCTTATACAAAATAATTATCCATGATTTAGTTATTCGTTCACTTTCGAATTGTGTTCTTTGTTAAGAACCATAGTCCTATAACTCGAGTTGTTAGATGAGGTTCACAGGCATAGACAGTCAAGTGAAATCCAATACACGAAATACACGAAATAATTTGATCTATGGACAACATCGTTATGGTGAAGGTCGTAATGCCAGAGGAATCATTACCGCAAGGCATAGAGGGGGAGGTCATAAGCATCTATACCGTAAAATTGATTTTCAACGGAATGAAAAAGACATATATGGTAGAATCGTAACCATAGAATACGACATCATATATCTTATACCATATACTGACACACCCCCCTTATAAAATTCAACTTATATGGAATTGAAGTTTGCACAAATCTGAATACCATGTGTCTAACAAATGAGATCGTCAAGATTACAACACAAGACCTTTCGGTCAACTATTATCAACTACATGCACCCAAATTTTCAGTATCAATTAACTATTATACCTAATTTAATCATTTCCCCCGAGCTAGGGTGGGTCCAGAGACCCACCCTATTACCCTCTCCCTCAGCCCCTGGCTAGTATGCTTAAGGGAAACTTTATCCGAACGTAATAAATTATAATTTGCCAATAATCAATGAATCCATCAATCTAATTGGGTTTGGATCAAATTGATTGAATTAGTTAGATATTTAAGTGAATGGATTGGATTGAATTGGATTGAGTTGTTATGCAAACATGAGAATGCAACTTTGGTTATATGTATTTGGTGAATACATGTATGCATTTTCAGGTTTTTAGTATGCACTCTAGTACTTTTGGTATGCTTTAGGAGATTTTGTTTATACGTTCTACTGTTTCTAGTGTGCATTCTCCTGATAATTAGTATGCATCCCGGAACTATACATTGTTGTGCTTTGGTGAATACTGGTATGCATTTTCAAGTTTGTAGTATGTTTTAGGAGATTTCGAATATATTTTCTCACTCATTAAGCGATTTATGCTACGCATTCATCTTCCCTATCTCCGTCGCTGAAATCCGACCACTATACAATGAAAAACACTATAAGTCATTGGGAATAGTTGTCGATGCGATTTGCCGACGACCATCGACTAGATTCCAAAAACTAATTTTTAATGACCAAAATTTGAAATCCGAAAAATTAAAATAAAAAATAAGCAACACAATTGTTTATAAAATTCACTATATTTTCGCGATTGATTTCTATTTTCCTATTGGTAGTTTAAACTCACAATTAAAATGACTATTGAACCTCATTTAAAATTTGCACCAACTAAAAATGGTCAACCTACTTAAATCAAAGTGTCTAGCTAACCCTAGCTAACCCTAACTTCTTATTAGATGATCACGGGTATTATCACCATAATAACACAAGGGAGTCAACACCTTTTTCTTTTTTTCTTTTTTTCTTTTTTGACAAAAGATAATCATATATTGATTCCAAACAAAGATAGTTACATCATGGACAACAACCAGGCCAGAAAATAAAAAAAACGACTCATAGTCGGGTACAATGCAAGGGATTTTCTAGCCACCATATGGGCTACCCTATTACTACGCCGACCTATGAATCGAACAGTACTAAACCCAAGGGTACCGCCAACAACTTGCAACACTTCTTCTAGAACCGCGCCCAGCTGGTTATCTCGAATATATGCCTGCTTGATTTTGTCAATGATCACCTTGGCGTCCCCTTCAAACCTTACCTCCGTGAACCCATGGCCTAAACACCAAAGAATAGCCTCCCGGAGCACAAGCAGTTCCACCACAACTGGTTCATCAATCCCAGGGAACTGAACCCCACTGGCCAGAAGAACATCCCTAGTCGGAGCGAGAAGAACCCACCCACCTGCCGAATGAGACCCCTTCCTAGTAGCCCCATCCCATTGACACACAATCCCAGCAGCGGGACTCGACATCCCAGGTTGTTGTACTACAGGGCAAGGGAGCTGGGGGGGCACCTCCACCGGCAACCCCACCCATTCCTCAACTTGCTTGTAAAACTACCGCATTAACGCAGGGAACCCATATTGCTTGCCTTCATAGACAACCCAATTACGAGATCTCCAGATGCGCCACAGGACGGAAACAACTGCCATAAGATGCTGAGGCTGCTGGATTAAAGCCATTAAACGCTTAAGGAACAGAGGAAAAGTATGTCGAGGCAACCCCTCTCCTAAATAATCCAACCCCGAATATCCCCAAAGCGCACGCACGACCGGACAATCCAGAAACAAATGCTCCATGGTTTCCGGACCACCCCAACAGACCGGACTGACTCACTCCTACTGTCACTCTAGAAAATGGCCAAGTGTAACCACTTCTTAAAGCGTAGTATAGCGGGTTTGGGTTTTAATGTCAACCCGGGTCCTAGATTTGATGACTACTCGGTGAATTCTTGTTATCTAGCAGTGAAACTTTAGTGCAAGTCCAAATTAACAAACAAACAAAGCAAGTTAAACGGTTGTTTTCAAGTCGAGAGAGGTCACCCGGATATGGTTCCCCCTAGAATGCAGTTAAGCCGGATTGCAATTTACCAAGTTCAGTTTTCATGAAAGTTATACTGTGGAAGGTTCTTAAATAGTCTGAAGTCTCGACTAAAGGTCTCCAGACCCTCTCAATCTGAGTCTCCAGCGGGCAACTAACCTCCACCGGAGTAAACAGATTGAGGCCCTAACGAACCAAACCTCCACTACCGAAGTAAATTCGGTACAGAATAATGAATTGGCTCCTCGATTAAAGTCGCCAATTCACTACCTTCAACTAAGGGTGCTCTATCAAACTAGGCAGATATTCTCTTTCTAGGTTAAAGCAGAAACAACAGGAATTTGATCAGGATTCAAGTCATTCAATATTCAAGCCTCAATCGAATATAATCAAATCATAAACTCTGTACTTGGGTTCATACAATCAGACCTAACATACAAATCTGGGGTTCCCCATACCCAGATGAATGGGGAAACTACTCCATGGAGAGAGAAGCAAAAGCAGATTCAGACGCGGAAATCATACTGTGAAGGATGAGTTTCTGCTCCTGGTTGTCAATCGACTTCTCCAAGCTCAAGCCGGGCTCCAATGGTGATGAAGATCAAGCTATGGCACTTGGGAACTCAAGTTCGTCGCTTTCTCTCTCTAGGAATCGCTCTGTCTCTCTAAAACTCGGAACCCTTGATTTTCAGCCTTCTTTTCCCTTAAAACTGCTGCCTGTCGCGATACCCGGTCGGGTATTTTGGGTCTCGACCGGGTATTATTAAAACGCGCGTTTTGCTTCAGGGAAAAATCCCCGGTCATGTCCAATAATCCCCGACCGGGGAATTAAGCTTCACGACCGGGACCCTCTCTGTTTCTCAGACGCCCAAAACAGTAAATACCCGGTCTCCTCAAAATAATACCCGGTCGGGTATTTTTGGTCATGGCCGGGTATTTTCTTCCTCCAGCACACTTCAAGCCTCACTTGCTCCTTTCGACCCGAATCTCGTTCCTTCGCCTCGATTCCAACGTCGGGTCCTGAAACATGACATAAGCGCACAACCTAGCGTGAAATCGGCTTAAAATACGAGAATCAACATCTCAAACGGCTCAAGAATAGGGGTGAAAACATGTGTAATTATCGGTCTATCAGAGACACCGAGGATGAGCAGTGATTTTTCTATCAATGCGGGCCTCCGTGGTGGGGAGGATCCAGTTCAGAATCTGCCAAACAAACACCTTAAGCTTGGAGGGGATATTAGCTAACCACAAATGGATCCAACTGGCCTTATCCATCCAACTCGCTGACGCCTTCCACCGACCCTTTCTCTTATCTAGCGAGACGGCCAAATGATAGGCTGACTTTACCGAGAACACCCCATTCGGAGTATTGTGTCAGATCAACCTATCCTTCAGGTTCTACCGCGGCAGGGGAATAGTTTTGATAATGCTGCAAGTAGGGGGGTCAAACCAATAGCTGAGTTTGAGATCGCACCAACGCCCCTCCCCTTGACAAATCACCTCTGCCAC